CGGGAATCGATTATCGGCGTTACTTTCTGCAGTCCGTCGCTGGTGGTAAACATAAGTGTGCGAAGGATATATGTACCCATAGTGACCATCAGGCGATCCGATATGTCATCCGATATGACGCGAACTTGCGATCGGAAGTGGAAGACGAAGGTTTTCGACAAGGATCTTTTCGTTGAAGCACTCCGTGTGGACAGTTGACTGAAACGTTAGTGAGACCATGTGACACGACCATTCCGAGGAAACTGGAGCCAAATCGAGGGGGGCGACACATCTAAATCTCAATTCTAGATGCTCAAAAAATCTCACACTAGCGAATCAATCTTCGAAAAATCATCTTTCATTTCTCGCATCTACTTGCATCGTGCTTCATCTTTTTGCAGCAAATCTTCAAAATCGACATAAATCTTCCTTGTATCTACTCAGCGTGCGTGCAGCTAGCCACAGCAAAACACAATCTTTTGTGCAGCGTAGATAGAGTCGTCCCCCTCGAGCCAAATAACAGACAACGTCCTGCTTACAGGTGGCCCTGGCATCCCCGGACATGTTCAGGATGGTACTGCAGAAATGCCTGGACGAGGGTCACTTCCCTGACAGGTGGAAGATACAGAAGCTAGTGTTGCTGACAAAACCAGAAAAACCGCCATGGGATCCATATGCCTCTATGCCTGCTGGATACACTCGGAAAACTCTTGGAGAGGATCATCCTAAACAGGCTGACGAAATGCACGGAGTGAGCACGGATTGTCGGAGAGGCAGTTCGGATTCAGGAAAGGGAGATCAACGGTGGAAGCAATTCGGACAGTTGTCGAGAGCCGATGATTGCGCCGTGATAACGATCGACGTCATGAATGCGGTCAACAGCGCCAGCTGGGACGCCATCGCTGAAGCGCTGCATAGAATGAGGGTCCTGACTACCTGTACAGGATCCTGAGGAGTTACTTCCAGAACCGAGTTATGGTGTACGAGACATACATGGGACAGGGGTCGATTAGGATTACAACAGCAGTTTCAATAGGCTCCCTCCTTGGTCCAACGCTCTGGAACCGGATGTACAACGGCGTGCTAAACTTGTTGTCGTTGCGAGACGCTGTAAGAGGTGGAAACGGTGCGGTCTCGACATGATTAGTAACTGGATGTAAGGAGCGAAGCTGCAGATAGCTCACCACAAAACGGCAGTGCTATTGGTCAGTAACTGTAAAGTGGTGCAGCGGGCAGCATCGAAGCGTGTGTTGAAATACCTGCGAGTGATGATCGATGACCGGCTAAACTTCAACAGCCACGTCAAATATGCCTGTGAGAAGGCTTCGAAGGCCATCAACGCGATGGCTAGAATCATGCCGAACAGCTCTGGTCCCAGCAGTAGCAAGAGGCGTCTTCTGGCCAGTGTGTCATCGTCGATACTGAGGTATGGAGTTGAATTGCAGCGCTAGAAACTGAGCAGTGCGTTCCAGCTCATGGCCATGCGAGTCGTGAGTGCGCACAGAACAATCTCGTCGGAAGCAGTATGCGTTATCGCCAGAATGATCCCTATCGGCATCACCCTGGCGGAGGACAGCGAGTACTACAGGCGGAGAGAAGCAGGAAGATTACGGAAAGTTGTGAGAGTGGAGTCGTTGGCTAAGTGGCAACAGGAGTGGAACACGGCTGAGAACGGTAGATGGACACATAGACTAAAACCGATTCTTTCGACCTGGGAGAACAGAAAACTCGGAAAAGTCAACTTCCACCTAACGCAGTTCCTGTCTGGCTACGGCTGCTTCAGGAAGTACCTGCATCGGTTCGGACACGCAGCGTCACCCCTCTATCTGGAGTGTGGCAACGTGGACGAAGCGCCGGAGCATGTGGTCTTTGACTGTCCAAGGTTCGAGGCAGTGCGAAGGGAAATGTCCGCCCTTAACGTGGAGAATGTCGTCGACGACAATGTCATGTATCGAGAGGAGGGCACTTGACAGAGCTGTCACGCAGATTATGTCGGAGCTGCAGCGTAAATGGAGAGATAAGTAGCGATCTAACGTCAGCTAGCGCTCGGAGTATGAGAAGTGCATGTGCAACGTTTTCGGAGCATAACGATAATTTTATCGATCCCATAGACATTTGAAGGGGTGAGCTTCAATTTGCGAGAAATCAACGGCTAAAGCCATTATTTACAAAAGCAATTACGCCTCTTTTAAATGTTGACTGTGAATTATAATAATAATAATAGGTTTCGGGGCAAATAAATGGTTGATGTCTTCAGCAAAGTTATTCAATTGGGCAAGATTTGTGGCAGTAGACGGATGCTTCATTAAAAAAAAAAAAATAGATTTCTAATAGGCCACCCCTCGGGCCACCCTCGACTTTGATTGATAACCCCAAAAACCCCACAATATGAGTCTACACGATATTTCTAAACAACTCAAATTTGAGTAGGATTTACTCATATCCGTCAAAAGTAGGGCTACCCAAAATTGAGTAAACAAGGTTGGAACTGACTAAATGACAAATGAGCAACGTTGTTCGGATTCAGGTCGATGTGGTCTATTCATCATCTTGTCAGTCCCATCGTTAATTACTCAATTTTAGGGAAATGAGGAGATCCTACTTTTGACGGATATGAGTAGATCCTACTCAAATTTGAGTTGTTTAGAAATAGAAAATTACTTGCATTCACTTAAATAGCTCTAATTTTGGTTCTAGTTGTCTAAACGTTGAAATAATTTAATATGGGATTGCCAATGATCAACAGGCCTGTTGTTGTCTGGTACATACTGCCCATAATCGCAAGTCAGTCCCATCTGAAAAAAAAACTGTAAATGAGAAAACGGCGTTCAAAGATTTTACAAGTTTTCTGATTTGACACTTATATTGGAGGAATGAATTTAAAAATAAACATACAATGTGATAGAATGCATCTATTTTTACCAAAAAATATTGGAAAAATATCGTGAAATTTTTATTTTATGGCCAAAATCTATATATTTATCGATTACATTAAACGTCAATGAGACAAATAACCGCAAGTCAGTTACAATTCCATGGCGATGCTGCATTAGTATTGAACAGTAGAAAGATACCATGGTCCCATAGAACGTTATTGAATATTTCTGGATTTGTTCCGCTGGTTCCAGAGCAATGGCCGAAACATATTCCGGTAAGTATGGGTCTTCATCAGACCAGAGCTTTTCATAAACGTGTCAAACCCACCATGCGATAAATCAATTTAAATGAGAATTCAAAAATAAGATCAATAAGAGCCATGATGAGTGACCAGCTGCATGTTCGCCACACCCGGACATGTTCCAGGTATCCCCGGGGAAGTGGTAAATCTTGTTTAAATCAAAATCCATCAAGCGATACATCTAAACCCAAGAGAATTCAAAGCCATATCCATTGGCGGTCAAACTGAGTATCGTAAGAACTATATTGGCCACATCCGGACATGTTCCAGATACCCTACGGCAAGTGGACAAAATCTGTCTTGAGACAAATTTTATGCTGCGATGTGTTGTCCAACATTTCTAACATATTTTTTTTAATGGGACTGGCTTGCGGTTACTTTTCGCTATGGGACAATTTGACTTGGTATTGTTTTTCATTTTTCTTGAACAAACCACCTTTTTTCAATAGCACATCTCAAAAAACATAGAAAGATGAACTGAATAATGATGCTAACACAAAATTGATGAAAATGCAGTTGGGACTGACTTACGATTACCGGCAGCATACTTAACTATCAAATCACCCTATTTTGTCATATTCCCCCCTATTCTGCGAGTCACGTGACTGTCTCTCACCGGTGAAGTGATAATAGTCACCTCGTGTGAGGTGACTCTCCATTTGATTTGCATGGAGAGTCACCTCACACGAGGTGACAATTATCACCTCACCGGTGAGAGAGAGTCACGTGACTCGCAGAATAAGGGGGATTTTCACATTTCTATCTTTCTTGAATTGCTGCCTAACTGACCTTAACAACAACAGACTTGTTGGTAATTATCAGAGCAATCACATTTTCTTTTTTTTCAGCATTTGGACAACTAGTGAAATTTAAAATACTTCCATAGTAATTCCCATACAACTTTCAAACCATTTGTGTTATCTCTAAACCTTCATTGGGATTATGAATCAAACTGGAGGGTGGCCTTAAAGAAATCTAACCTTTTTTAAAAAAGAAGCACCCTAATGTGGCAGTAGACAGTTTATTTCGAAATTGATTACCAGGTGGCGCCAGAGTGAAAACAATGGGTCGTATGATAAATAAAAGTTAAAAACTCAAGTTTACTACAATTCGTGTAGTAATTACTACATATCGAACCATTTTGGTACAAGTGAAGTTTTTGGTGAGGATTTTGATAGTCAACAGTTCTTAAAGTTGCATCCCTGAAGTTCCATAAGTTTCGTGAACCAGTCGGACGATCCTTGAACTTTTTGGAAGCTAGCCGGAAAAATTCTTAAATTTATCAGAAGGTTCGTGAACTAGTCAGAACAACCATAAACTAGTCGGAAGATCTTTGAACTAGTCTGTGCAATCAGACAACGGTGAACGAACCATACATAACCGCCTCCCTCCTGCAGAAAGGAAGCACTCCATAGGGATCCAGCAGTCCTCCACAGTCACAGCGCAGTTTGATAACTACCAATTGGTTTTGGAAATGGAGACCATCGAAATCACGTCCTCCACGTGGACACGACTCGTCGGATCGGTTGGCTGGTTAATCTCATCTCGCCGTCGTCGATCGTCAGAACATGCAAGAGAATCCTCGGAAGGAAGGCAGAGTGCACCACAGTCCGACCAACTTTTCAAGTTCCGAAGTTCCGAAAAGCTTCTGGGAACATACATCCTAATTTAACGATATTGTATGCAACATTGAATGACGCAGTCTACTAAATGCCTATCCCGAAGAAGCACCACCACCATAAGCAAGGAAGTTCTTTCTAACCAATCAATGCACCGATACGGAATTTCACACAACTTTGTCTTTATGTGAATGCAAAACATAAAACATCTGTGAACGGTTGAGAAAAAATACTACTACACCTCTAACATGGTCCTTTCCACTTTCCACAAATCGGGTCTCAATTTAAACAAAATCGATCCATTATTTCAGGTATATGCAAGGTGGGAGCATTTAATTAAACAAAACAAAATACAAATCGCGAATGCAACTTCATTTGGTATACCTATTATTTCATCATCATCATCATCACGCTTTTGATACAAAACGAAAAGCAAGGAAAATCCCGGAAAGTGTTGTTTTAGCAGCGATTGATTCGTTAGACTTCTTCCACACAGTCGCAATATTTGTCTTACACCTTATACTGTTTCCTTACCAACGACGCCGCTTACTAGTGCTAGAAAAGAGTTGTTTGTGTTCTTAGAACCAGATTGCTATCATACCGTAGTTCGATTCGAGTCTCCCGCCAGTCGGTCCACAATCTGTAGGCAAAACGGTAGTTTTAAAAATAGCTTTCCTCAATCGCCGGATCCATTCATTCATTACCTTGCTGACTCCGGGCATGTTGAGGAAGTTACCCAGAACGGGCACCCTCCGCAGGAAGTTGATGGCCACCGGGAAGAATCCGCTGAACAGCAGTATGAAGCCGTAGGTTTCGATGAGCATTCCGATCAACGGATAGCCGAGCAGAACGATCAGGATTCCGCCGAAGAATGCAATCGAAGCCTTGACCTTGTGCTTCTGGAAAAAGAACCGGAACGTCCGCTCCAGCCCTATCACGCAGGCCAGTCCGCATATGAAAAGAATCTTGGCGGTGGAAAAATGGGAAATGTTAAAACACAATGCTTCTCTAGTGCTAAGGGCTGGCCAGGGCTTACGTTTCCTATTGCTAGTAAACCTTTGTCGAATAGTAGTAGGACTCCTAGAAACAGAAATGCCACACCGAATCCGGCTAAGCCGACACCAATTTCTGCAATAAACAAGGAATCGGGATTAGCAGGATTATTCCCTTCGTATAAAAAACAAACTCCCTACTCACTCTGTGTATCGCTAATCTCGAACATGGTGAATTAACTTATTCGTAACTATTTAACTAGGATAAATCTGGATACAAACTGTATAGCTGCTTCTGCTCGCTGAATCTACTGGATGTCCATCCACGTCATTCGTGTGTTATTGTTATCCGCCAACTCGCAGAAGAAGCGCTGCACAAAGCTTAATTCCCCCCACAATTAACGTCTGGTACGATTTACACTATTTCAAGCACTTCTTCGGTGGCACATTATTCTCCTGCACCGAAAATTGTCGTAAATGCACGAAATCCCACTGAATTTAAAGGCTTTAATTTCACTTTCTTTTGTGAATCGCTTTTTTTCTTGTACCAAAGAAACAGCAGCAAGCAGAATGACAGATGTACAAAGGAGAGGAGATGTGGAAGGAAAAACACAACATAAAAAGTATGTTGCGCGTGTTGTCAAAGTACAGGGGAGTACTGAATTTGTTGCCCTGCATGGCTGTTTTTTGAGTCCACATGCAGGGGCAGGACAACTGTGCTCAGAGTATGTTTTTTTTTAATTCAGGTATAACATTTGATAACAGCACAAAAGCATTAGTAAACAAAATGTCTTAGGCCATTTACACGCTAACCAAAGTACGCCCACGCAAACCAATACCACTTTCGGAAAGGTCATAGTTGGCCCTATCCGATGATGTTATTGGTTTGCGTGAGCGTACGTTGGTTCGCGCGTAAAGGGCCTTAGAATGTTTGTTTACAAATGCTTTTGTGCCGTTATCAAACGTTATGTCTGAATTATTCACTCAGTTTTTCAGAAGTGGAAATTTTCCCTCGCCTTTTCCCCAAAATCAAAATCGCGAAAAATCATGAAATTTTGCTAGCGAAAATGGTTGTGAAAAAATGTGTGTTTCCCTTTTTCGCAGTTTACAGTTCATGTGAAACGAAATCTATCAGTTTACACCTCCGGTGAAGTGAAAATCTGACAGATACGCTCTCTCGAAACGTCAACTTTTCGCTTAGCTGCTGCTCTTTTCGCGAGCGCTGCATGCACGAAAAAAAAATAAACGTGAGCGAAAAAGATGCGATCCACAACATTAGATTTCGCTGGATCACAGTTCAAAGCGAAGTGAAAAATTTGCCAACTGCGTTTTTCACGCAGGTGAAAATTTTTGTATTTTGTATCAGGTTTTCGTTTCGCTTCGATCTCTATACAGACCTTAATAAAAAAATCCCATTGTCGAACTTTTATGAAACTATTTTCTATACACGGTAACCGCAAAATACCCAATAATGACTACAAAGTACGCATTTTCGAGGGAAACTGGGACTACCCATTAAATGAGTAAAATTTTACCCATTTATGAGTAATTACAACTATAAAAATCAGTAGTAAGTATTCATTTTTGAGTAACAAATACTCATAAATGGGTAATATGTTTACTCATTTAATGGGTAGTCCCAGTCTCCCTCAAAAATGCTTACTTTGTAGTCATTATTGGGTATTTTGCGGTTACCGTGTAGGGGCAGATCACTTGAGGCGAGACTTGAGGTGCATTTATTTTAATAAAAAAATATGCTTATAGGTGTTCTAATGTGTCAAATTCATGATTCATCCTTGATGAATTTTTGTATGGGACAGCTACCAAGAGTTTACAATTTGTTTAAACCCATACTTTCCCCTATCTCTCCACCCCTACGATCTCCTCGCCCATATAGTGACAAAGCTGTATCACCATAGAGGTAACTCTAAGACCAGAAGGTCCCGAAGAAACGTGCTCAACTGTTAAAAACGCGTGAAAACTACGTCAAAATTGACCACTTTGTCAAGCAGTTTTGGCGTGACTTTCTAACAGCGATTTCACAAAACTGGACCAACTAATTTCTATTTTTTTATGAAACGCACAAATGTTGGCTACTTTTCTCGTGATTCTAGAAGAAAAAATCTCAAAATAATGTTTTATTTCAAAGTTAAAGTGGTAGTAAACGTCATTTTAACTGCTCGAATTAACCGTCTAGAACCTTCGTTGGCAGCAACGAATTTGTGCACAACCTCCTCCACCAAAAACGCGAGTAAAGTCCCTAAAACTTCCGTTGACAACATCAGGAGTCTCCACAAACCTTGCGGAACCTGCACCGAGACCGCGTAAAAATCAATCGATTTTTGCTGGAACCACTGGCAGCATCGGACGAGATAAACTCTGTCGAAGCCTACTGGAACATTCCTTTGCTGCATCGGAAATCTGCACTCCGAAATCTCCCAAAAACCTCTCCACTGTGAAAATTTGAAAACTCTGTTGAAACTCCCTCGAACCTCCATTGGTAACCACCGAAAGCTTGCGGTATCCTCCGTGATCACGCAAAAACTTCGTCGAAACTCCCCTCGAGAACTCAGATGCTGCCAATGGACGGAGTCTCGAGTTGTATGTAGTTCCAGGGAATATCAACGGCGGTTTCTTATGTTCTCGGCGGATAAAGTTCCCCGCGAGTTTCAGTAACTTTAAATGGATTTTCCTTGATTTCTCGGTGGAGGTGATTCTGCATGATTTCGGAGACGATTTTAAATGCTGCCAACGGAGGATCAAGGATATTTTTCCTTGTCCTGATAAAGGGATTTGACAGTGGGTCTACATTGATTCTTTTGAGATGTTGACAAATAAATAAATAACAGTTACATAAAGTGTGGCCCATGCAAACATTGCAAAATTTCGATGGCGTTTTCTTGCGTTTCTTGGCGGACGAGGTTCCATACGATTTTGAGGGCAATTTCTGATGCTGCCAGCGGAGGTTTCAGGTAATTTCGACGGAGTTTTTTCGCGTTATCTGCGGAGGAGGTTCTGCACAATTTTGGTGGAGGTTTCCGATTCAGCAATCGGAGGATTCAGAGATTTTTTGACGATTTTTTTTTCGCGTTAACGGTGGAAAAGTTTCCACAAGATTTCGATGCTGCCAACGGAAGTTCCAGGAAATCTCTATGGCATTTTCTCACGTCTTCCGTGAAGAAACTTTTGCAAAATTCTGGTGGGGATTTCTGAATCTCCCAACGAAGGCTCCACAAATTTTCGACTGTCTCGTGCTCGGTCTCGTGTTCTCAATGCTGCTGGTTTTGCGCAATTTCGATGTTGACAGTGGATCTATCCAAAATTTGCTACACTAGAAAGTTGTGTGTTAAACGTCTACGTATTTTCCTAATACCCCGTTCACATTACAGCGTATATCACGTGATATACGCTGTCTTGCAATGAGCACTCATACATCTAGTTTTCACTTGAAATCCTATGTATGAGTGCTCATTGCAAGACAGTCTATATTACGCTGTAATGTGAACGGGGTATAAAGATCAAATTAGCTCCCTGAAGGTCTATGAAGTTTCCTGATGTTCTACGAATTCCTTGAAGCTCTACAACGTTCTTTGAACTTACGAAGTTCCCTTAAATCAAATGGTCTTCCCATAACTTCTCTGAACTTCCCAAGTAACAATCAGCCCACTAATGCAAAAAGTGCAATACCCAACACACAAATCGTGCTGGTTAAAGACTGAATATGCTAGTTTTTAGTTGAAGAAGCATAATTTTGCCTGAATAAGCTCGTATTTTGCCATAAATATTTGCTGGATATAATGCTGATATAAAATTTTAAATCCGTTTTTCAGCCTTTTAATGCCTGTATAGAGATCCAAGCGAAGTGAAAATCTCATATAAAATACTCAATTTTTCACCAGCGTGAAAAATGTAATCGACCCTTCGCTTGGAACCGAGCTTGGAACCGAGCTTGGAACTGAAAACGATTCAGTGAAATTGAATTTTGTGGATCGCATCTTTTTCACTTAAGTTATCTTTTTTTCACGTAAAAACACACAGCACCTAAGTGAAAAGTTGACGTTTCGAGAAAAAGCGTATCTGTCAGATTTTTACTTCACCGGAGGTGTAAACTGATCGATTTTGTTTCACGTGAACCACAGAGAACAGACGTTTAACTTCGGATAGAAACTTGTGTAAAGATAAGTGGGAATATCGCCATTACGTGGTGCTAGCATCTCCTGATTTCCTCTATAAATTTTCCACATTCGATCAATTTGGCGATACATTTTCTGTTGAAAATTGCCACTTTGCGCTACCAGCACTTAGTGTCTAGTGTAAGTTGTGCAACGCCAACGCCATCAGGTTTTAAAAGATGGTTTTTAAGTAGAGAAGTCGCCGTTAGCAGCGCTTAAGTTGAATAGGAATCACACAGGGGGTAAGTCACTCTGCCACATTGTGCTAACACCCACAGAAACACTCTTCGACACACTTCAAACACCCTTCCACCGTATGAGAAGCAAATTTTTATACAATTCTGGCACCACTGCAATGTTTACAATGCTCGTTTCATGGATTAATCTGCACACAAACAATAGCAAATGAGTCGCAGGAGTATAGGCCGGCGCACAATAGATACGTTTTCAAGTTTTTTTTTTACAGTTAGCCCATGCATTATCTGTCAAAAAACCCGAAAACGTATCTATTGTGCGCCGGCCTTATCTGTCATTATCAGCGGTTGTTATGATTGAGGATATGGTTGCTAGTAAATATATTTTTTCGGTTGAAGTTTTGTCAGCTCGGTCAACACGATGAAACACATTCCGACACCCAAAAACACACTGGAAACACAAATAGCACAGGCACAAGGTGGCAGAGTGACTTATCCCCTGGAATCACACCAGTTTTTAGATAAATTTTGTTCGAGCCTCAACGTCTGTTCTCTGTGTGTGAACTAAACTGCAAAAAGAGGAAACGAGAGAGGAAATAGGGAAAAATTTCACAAAAACTTTTTCGCAACTTTTTTCGCTAGCGAAACTTTATGATTTCCACTTGCTTCAAATTTCAATTCGCTTTGAACTGTATACTAGACTTTATATTGCAAAAAGGGCCCTTATTGGGCTTGATGGTTACTTGGATGCTGTAATGGCATAATTTTATAATTGTGAACACAGATTCCCACCCCTGTCACCAATTTGAAAAGTATCGGTGAAGGCATGCATCTCGTCCATCTGGAAGAAGATTTTATCATAATATAGAAGAAATGGCTCTAATGTTGGCCTATGGATCTAAGATTGGACCCATCGCTAAAAATCTGCTATTTACTCGGCTATTTATCAATTTTATCTAGATGAACGCGTCATTGGGACGGTAATATTGGATATTTTTGGTCACTATTGAAAATTTAGTCGATTGCTGAATTTATGTATGGGCCCAAATTAGGGGCATTTAGGCTGACATTACATCCATTTCCCTTACTTGACATCCTTGGATGAAAGATAAATTACTAAAAACATAGCCAGGACCCAACAAACAATTTTAGCCTAGGGGCATCCCACTCTAAACTTTGTATTATTCCTAATA